ACTATAGGTCGAGATAAAAAAAAAAAAAAACATTTCCCTCGGTATTTCATATCAAATTCTCTTTTTAGATAACATATGACACTTAGAATGTCTATAGGAGTTCCAATAATATTTGAATCATCAATGTATATAAAAATTATTATAAATATCTTTATAAAAAAATAAAGAAATAAATATGGTTATTTTTATAATCTTCTTTCGATGAATATTTATTGAAGCAATTATATCATACATGCATATGTTAGTAATAAATAATAGATATTAAAAAATAAAAAATAAATATAAAAATTATAGCATAAGTTGAATTTCTAAAAAATAAAATAAAAACTAAAAACTAAAAACTAAAATAATCATGATAGAAATCTCTATAATTTAGTGGAATTTATTTCTCGAAAAAGTGTATTAGATGCTTTAAGCATCTTAAGCCTTAAAACTTTCATATAGATATCATTTGAAGTGAATAAATAAGTTATGATCACATTCATTAAATGCATGCATATGAATTTTTTTATATATTTTGTTAGGCTAATGAGATAATGAAATGTAATTATATCCACTATAGGAGAATGTGTCTCACCATAGTCAATGTTAGGTTCTTATAAAAACTCTTGTGTTACAAGTCACGCTTTGTATCTCACAATCTTATCTTTCTAATTTTGTTTTTGCATAACTACACATTTGTATCTTACAGTACTTAACATCTTTAGGTATTTTGATTATGGATTCAAAAACTATTCATCTATAAGACAATATAATCCTAACTTGATTGCTCTTTTCATTAGGCCAATTATCTCTACGTCAACATTCGTTAATAAATTTAGGCTCGAGATCTAATTTTTATTCAAAATATCAAGTGCACTATTATATGAAAAAATGTTAATAATAAATATTTCTTTTTGTTCCAATTTTCTTCCTATATTGACATAATTTATTAAAGTCTCTTGATCGTTCTCAAGTATTTGGGCTTCTTCTGAAGCTTATTATCAAAAATATCTTGGGCCATTTTTTGAATACTTATTTTTGTTATATTTTTATTTTGAGAATTTTTTTCTTCAGAATTGATCGGTCTTTTATGCTTAAGGCATACTTTAGATTCATTTGCTATAACATTGATAAATTGTCTTTATGGGACATCAATTCTAATAGAAGTATTCCCAACGAAAACATGCACTTTTGTTACTCTTTTTGAATTTAAAAATGCATCCAATAGTTGTTTTGCAAGATTTTATAAATGAATTATCTTTTGAACTTCTAGTTCACATTATTTTGTATGAAGATCAAGATGATATAAAGATGGAGTACTCTATGTAATCTCTTGTCCAACATTTCCAACTTCTTATTTTATTTATTTTCTCTCCCTAATATTGAGAAAATTATTTCATTAAAATAATAGTTGGTAAATCAAATTGTAAAAATATCTCATGTTTGCGATTTAAGATTTTTAATTATTAAAGAGAATTCAATTCCAACATATATTCTTAATCTCTTTTGAGAGCCCATTTTAGTTCATTGTGGAGGAGCACTAGGAATATATATTACATAGTAAAAAATTCTTAGATGAGAAATGTTTGGTTCATGACCGAAACTAATTAAAGGATAGAGAATTTTTTATAACTTATGGGTCCGATGCGAATAAGTTTTGTTCCATGTCTCCAAACATAAGTAGAGAGTTTTATTTTCATAAGTAATGGTTAAGCTATCAAATAGAGCTTTTTGATAAATGATTCCGATAAAACTTTCTAAGTATAAACGTGAACAACAAGCTATTCAATCTTTATTGTAATAACCAGTCAATAATCATTTAATGCTTGATAGATAAATTCATCAACACTCGTTATGGTGAATTATTTTAATGACATAATCTGGATATTATGCTCGAAATCAAATTATTTGAGCTACCAACCTCGTAAATGCCGGGTTTTGAGTAGATAATAAGCATATATATGATCATCTTATTGATGCATTTATTAAAATCATAAAATATTTAAATGATCCACATGATTGATGAATTGATCCACATATATCATCTTAAATACATTATAAAAATAATAGAGATTCAATCTTAATTTTAGTTGGTGATGACTTAATAATCGGTTTGCCTTGAAAACATACGGAATATAAATATTCATTAGATTGAAGAATCTTCTAGCTCTTTAATAGATGTCCATATAAATTTTCAGTAATAATTCATATAATGAAATACCTAGTATAACATAATCGGTTATGCCACATAATAAAAGCATTTTAATTAGTAAACTTCTATTTTACTATAGAATTTTTTTTCAATCACTCGAATGTTTGTAATAAACACTAAAAGAAAAAATAGGTAATTTCTCCAATACCTATTTTTTATTAGATGTAATAATTATAATATTTAAGTATTCAATATTTTCTACATTTGATGTCTTGATATGATATCCATTTAGATGAATATCTTTGAAACTCAAGAAATTTTTAAAAGCATTTAAAGAAAATAGTGCATCATTTATAATAAAATTTATCCTTTTCAAGTAATAATATATTTTTCTTTCTAAAGTGTTTAAATTCTATCACTTTAAGTGGTAATATATTCACTCTTCTAGAGTCTTAAAAGTTTGTTTCTCACGCAATAATATAGTCGTTCTTCTAGAGCTTTTTATTAGGTTGATATTATCAGCTATAATATTAACATAAAATAAATAATTAAATAAACACATAAATAAATATATTCTTCACAAACACACACACACACACACATAGCAAAATAAATTTGTAACTATCACTATGCAATAGGAAATATAAACCATCTTATCTATAAATAGAAAAGCTAAGAAGTTCTTAATTTTAATTACCATTATTTTGATATATAAAATTAACCTCGATATTTTACTCTTTCTTTTTTTTTTCAACAAGGCTTGATAAGATTCGATGAAGTGATTTAACATACGGCAAGTATGAGACCAATATCTCTTCATATCATATTTATAACATTCATTTTTAAAATACTAACTTGATTTTTTTTTTATTCTTTTCTTCTTTCTTTTTCATAGTTTATCTACTTCGGTGGTGAGATGTATTATTATGGTCATCACAAGTATAACAATAATTATTTCGATATGATTATAGTTATGTCCACATCTTCGTCCATGCTCAAAATTATTATAAGTTGTCACATTCACTTTAGGGAATGGAGTAGACTCAATTGGACGAGATTCATGATTTTCTATCAATAGCTTATTATTTTGCTTAGCCACAAACAAGCATGAAATCAATTTAGAATATTTCTAAAAAACTTTTTTTTCTATATCTTGTTACTATAGGAGTACATTTGAGGCATGAAAGTAGATAATGTCTCTCAATATCAAGCACCCATAATCAATAATTCTAGCTGAAATGCGAAGGGCCACAAAATCAAGTTTTGTGAAGTTTGATATGATAATGAAGATATGGTAATGATGTTAGAAAATAAGAAAAAAATTAATAATCAATTTTAAGCTTTTCAAACAAAATACATTAGATTATTAGATTTTATATATTAAATCATTAAATTTTTTTCAAATGTATACTTAGATGTATCATTAAATTTAAAGTAAATAATAAATTTGATACATATCTCTTAATAATCTATATAATTTAGATATTTTGGTAGAGCATTCGTGTAAAAAATCAATCCAATGATTGAAATTAATTGGTCTACTATCTTGGTTAGTTAGAGCTTCGTATCGATAACGTTTTATATATTAAAAAAAAAGGCAATAATAGTAGAATTGAAGAGAAAGATGATCAAAAAATGAATTCACTATAAAATAAAGTGAATACAAGAGATAACAACTTTAAATAATTCTCTCAATCTCCACAAAATACTTATACTCAAGCTTACTAATAATCAAACCTATTTGTAGGCTTCAAGATTATGAAGAGAATTAGAAGGGACTTAATGAAATGGTGCATAAATAATTGAATCAACTCGCATGTCCTTTTTAATTTTTCATATTGAATAGTGAATTGAATCACATGAGTAGTGAGAATATTAAATGGCCATGGACATTCATTATTTTATAACAATTTTCACTTTATAAGTGTTTTATTGAAAGAAATGAAAGGGAAATATGAATCAATAATGAAAATAAAAATAAAAATTGAACATAATTTCATTATAATCGAGCGACTTGGGAATAAAAATAAAAAATAAAAAAGAACTTTTTTCTCTTTAAAATTATGATATAATATTTTTATCTATTGTGTATTATCTACTTATGCCACCATTTCCATCACCATCACCATCACCACAACTATCACTTTTACCACTATTATCATTTTTATTATACTACTCCCATCACCACTATCACCACTCTTCCTTTACCACCTTATGGTAGTGGTATTAATTTTTTAAAATATATTATTGCTATTACAATATTATTATTAATACCACATCTTTCTCCTCTCCCTCCTCCTTCACCACAACCACTACCACTACCACCACCACAATCACTTTTATAATTTTTATTACTATTATAATTGATGAATTTTTTTTTAATCATTATTCTTATTTTAAAAAAAAAATCCATATATTAAAAATTTTAAAATTTATTTCGATTTTCTATTACTATTCCAAACATAGCAAGAGAATATAAATATCATTTCAATGCTCTAATTTTTATTTTAAGTCCCATATTTTTATTTTAGACTTTTCATTTTTTGTAACCAAACACCTTAGTACCTCTTTCTTACATTGATTAAGTTACCAATATTAATACTCAGACTTTTAATATTTTCAAAGTACATTCTAATCCTTCAATTTTGAACTAAGCACAATGACTTTCAATGCTGAAACAAACAGTTCCAAATGACAGAAAGGAAAGATAAGGTGTCCATTTATTTACTAGTATTCCATTGATAGTATAATTGACTATGGAGATAAATAATTTAAACCCTTCCAAAGATGAAAGGCCAGATTTTATTTACTATTACAATGACAAAATGCCATGTCTATGTTTTCATTTTTGTTATGGAGAATTAACCTAACTAGCCCTGACAAACATAAAAGTAAATTCAGGACCATCTAGGACTAAAAAGCGCGTTCCATTCTGAATCAGAATACCTGCATAATGTGGTGCGTTTATACATGCTGGGCACCATTGGAAAGTATAGGAACCTCCTAATTGATTCCTGCTGTTAATTTGAAAGTAGGCAGGTTCAGCTCCAGTCACAATAAATCTCCTCCTCGTCTGTGGATCTTCCTCGCCTACACTCCATGAAGTGTTTTGAATACAAGTTGAGGCACCTGAAAATGTAACAGTGACCTCTGTAGATTCAGTGATGATAGTTTCTTGAGGATTTATTGGTGTAAAGCTGACTGGAATGCCCACTCGACCGGATCTAGCAGATTCTTGACCAACATAAAATGGGCAAGATCCATTGCGAGCCACTAGAGTTAAACTACCAGCAACATCAGCTACTGCAGGGTCTACAAGGTATTCTACACCGCTTCTGAGGGGTTCTCCTCCAGCATCAAGCACAGGAGGGCTTTGAGCCATAGTAGATATGGCCAATAGTAGCCATATGAAGCTTAAAATTCTAGCCAGTCTCAACATAATTATGTTACAGGAAAATAGTGTACTGTTTGTGCTTGTATGCTGAAAAACTTGATCAGAAACCGAGTAATATCTTTGCTTCTCCTGGCATAGAATAGGTTGGCTAGGAATTTATAGGAAATTTGGTAAAGAGGGCAGGCATGCGACTATGTACAAAATTTGAACAATGGCGGCACGGCAACGAAAACTTCATTTGTCTTGCCGTAATTATCTTTCGTTGCACCAACTAGATAATCCTTTGCAACGTAGTCCTATCCCCTATGCGTACATGTATGACAGTAAAGTTTGAATTGAAAGTTTAATTTCTGATGAGATGTAACTCAAGAGATAAGAGTGAAAATGGCTACAACCAGAGGCTAATTGTTGTCATTTTAAGTTTTTTTTTTTTTTTTTTTATTATTATTATTATTATTATCATTAGAAAGTTCAAAAAATCTTTGAAATAAAATGAGAGTATAGTCCTCTATTTTATTGGAACTTAAGTTTTTAATAATCGAATGTACTTTTTTAATAAAACTATAAAGCAGTCATGTAATCAAAAGAGTTATTCTTGTTGTGTGATTCAATATTCCTCAAGTCTATTTAACTAAACCAATTTTTTTTCTTAAAAAAAAAAACAAATCGGCAATCAAGCAGGCTTGTATTAGTTTAATTATAATTAGACAGTAGGAACTTCGAAACAAAATCAATTAGAATACTTCAATTGACCCATAAAGAAGTTGTTCATTTGGGCACGTTTATCAAACGTAGACGCATTTGGTCCAACCTTCTTTGAATACTTCCTGTCAAACAACTTAGCACATGCCAATTTCAATTTGCTCCGGTCATGAGTAGATAAGAAGAGATTCTCTTGAAATAACAGAGATAAATTTTTTGTGCTGTAATTTATTTTGTATATTTAAATTTTTGTATACACTTTATTTATGAATTTTTATGTACAAATAAAAATAGAATATATAATTATATAGTCTGATTTTCATTCCGAAATATCCAACAGTCTTAATAGCTCCAATGGTCATTGATGTTCTACCTTCACTCGCCGACAAGTCTAACACTTAGAAACAATTTCAGCAACATCTTTCTTCATCCCTTTCCATCAATACACGAGCTTCAAATCTTTATACATTTTTATGATTTTTGGATGTATTGAATAAGGAGTAGTATAAGCCTTTTTTAAAATCTCTTCCTTTAAATCGTTAATTGCAGGAGCACATAACCTACCTCGATACCTTAAAACTCTCTCATCATCCACCATAAAGTCCGGCTTTTTCTTTTCTTCTACTTCTTTCTTCATTTTGATTAAATCATCATCTAAAAGTTGGCCCTTTTTAATCCTTTGCTTCAAATTTGGTTCTACCACCAACGTGAACAATTTATTGACACCACCATTCGGCACCATTTCCAACTCAAGCTTTTGTACGTCTCTCAAAATCATTGATTATACCACTTGTGAAGCTAACCAAGACTTTCGACTTAAAGCATCAGCTACAACATTAGCTTTACTTAGATGGTAATGAAGAACAATATCATAATCTTTCAAGACCTTAAACCACCTCCTCTCGCCTCATATTCAACTCCTTCGAGTAAAGAAGTACTTAAGACTCTTATGGTCGGTATAGATTTCACATATAACACTCGTACAAGTAGTGTCTCTAAACTTTTAAGGCAAAAACCACTACGACTAACTCCAAATCATGAGTGGAATAATTCTTCTCATAATCCTTCAATTGCCTTGAAGCATAGGCTATCACTCTCACTTCCTACATTAACACTTCTTCGAGCCCTATCTTTGATGCATTAATGTAAACCATAAACTTTCCATTATCCGACGGAAGAGCCAAAATAGGAGCCATTGTTAGCCTAGATTTTAACTCTTAGAAACTCTTCTCACAATCATCATCCCATACAAATCTTACATTCTTCCTTGTCAACTTTGATAGTGGAGCGGCTATTTTTGAAAATCCCTCTATAAACCTTCGATAGTAACCAGCCATACCAAGAAAGCTTTTTACTTCGACACATTCTTCGGTTACTTTCAGTTTTGCACTACCTCAATCTTACTAGGATCCACCATAATTCCAACCTTGGTAACCATATGACCAAGAAAAGACACTTGCTCTAGCCAAAAGACACACTTATGGAACTTAGCATACAACTTATGCTCTCTCAAAGTTTGTAAAGTTATCTCTAAATGCTTCATATGTTCTTCTTTACTCTTAGAACATATCAAGATGTCATCGATGAACACAATAATGAAGCTATCCAAGTGCTCATAAAATACTCTATTCATCAAGTCCATGAAAATTATCGGGGCATTAGTCAATCCAAACGACATCACCAAAAACTCATAGTGTCCATATCTAGTCCTAAATGCTATCTTTTTTACATCCTCCTCCTTGATTCCTAACCGATAATACCACGACTACAAATCAATCTATAGTCAATAGATTCAAACCCGAAGCCCCTTTTAACTGGTAAAACAAATCATTGATACGTGGAAGTGGATACTTATTCTTGATAGTAACCCGATTCAAGCCTCTATAGTCAATACACAGACTCTTAAAGTCCTATCTTTCTTCTTCACAAACAATATTGTTGCTCCCCAAGGTGAACAACTAGGATGGATGAATCCTTTATCCAACGGCTTTTGCAATCGTATCTTTAATTCCTTTAATTTTATGGGTTTCATTCTATAAGGAGCCTTAGAAATAGAAGCGAGTTCCAAGCTCAAGCTCAATCTCAAACTCTACTTCTCTCTACAATGGCAAACCCGGCAAACTATTTGAAAAAGCATCAAGAAAATCTTTCACCACTTTAATATCCTTAGCTTCTACTTTACGCTCTTACTTAGTACCTTTAACATTTACCAAGTATCCAATACAACCACCTTTCATCATCTTCTATGCTTTCATTGCTACAATAGTAGAAATTATATTTACTTTACTATCAGCTCAAAATTCAAATGGTTGTTCATTAGGTGGTTGAAAAGTCACCTTTCTTTCAAGACAATCAATTGTAGCACCAAACTTTGACAAACAATCCATCCCTAATACCACATGAAAATCATGTATGCTCAACACTACCAAATCAATCCTCAAAGTCTTGTTACCAATTGATAAATCACAATTGTTTATCATATAATTCGATTCCATCACCTCTCCGAAGGAAAAGTCACGTCATACATATATGTAAGCAATTCGAGTTTAATCCCCAACCTTCTCAACAAAGATTTAGATATGAAAGAATAAGTTGCACCGAGAATCAACCAATGTATAGGCAATAAGTCCAAGGATAAGTATATTATTGCATATAACTATTGTGTTCTTTTCATTAGCTTGCTCTTGCATCATGGTATAAACCCTTCCAACTACTCTTTGAGCGGACCCTTGTCTCTTTGGGTACTTTTTTGCAAGATGACCTTTCTCCTTGCACCAAAAACAAGTATTAGTAACCTCCAAGCATTCTCTAAAATACCTTTTTCCACTCTTGGTATAGACTAATCTCTCTCGAGTTCCCACAAATATGGCCTCCTCCGAGAATTTGGCCTTCTTTACCCTATTTGATTCAAATCTTGAAAACTCGGTTTCTCACTCGTCCTTACCCTATAGACATGGGTGTATAATTTGTCTTAGTTACCGATCTTTTAGCTTACAAGTCTTTAACAATTTCCTTCCGGTCTTCCTTAGCCATTAATGTCTTCCCTACCATATCACTATAAGTTACGACTTAAGACATCCTCACCATACTCTCGATCCCGTGGTTAAGTCCCCTTAGAAAATTCTCTTTCTTCGATTATGCATCACCGAAATAAAAGGAACAAACCGACACCCTTGCTTAAACCGTCCGACATACTCGATCACCGATAATCTAGCTTGCTTCAACTCTATAAATTCTTGTACTTTCTTAGACCTCACATTATTAGTAAAGTATCTACTATAAAAGATCTCTATGATGCGCACCCACGTAAGGTTAGGTATATCTAGTGGCACTTTTGCTACATCCCACCGAGTTCTAGCATCTTTGCAGCATCATAACCATAACACAAAATACCCCGTCCGTATCACACAAACCCAAATGCTTAAAGATAACCTTCAAAGATTTCACCCATTCCTCGGCTATTAAAGGATCCGTTCTACCAAAAACTCTTTCGCATTCATCTTCTTGAATCGTTCGACAACATCCATTCTTTATTGTAGAGCTCTCTGTGGTTATTGCTTCGTTGTATAGCCAATATAGCCCTCATTTGTTCATTTTGTTGTTACATCATCACTTGTTGCTATTGCAACAATTCCATCATCCGCGATATTATCGGCCTATTATTATTGTCATCCCTCTCATTACCGACTCGATTTCTTAGTCTACTTATGTTTACATACCTCCTTGTTGGCATTCGACCTTGTACCACAATCACAACTTGGTCATTTATGAATCTCATGCTACACAATCAAGCATCATTGATTTATGATATGAGTATTTTTAATGTGTCTTTAAGTGTACTAGTTGTATAATGCACGATCATGTAGCTTTGTATGGTTGCAATAGAAGCGAGTGGAATTGGTGAAAGCATAACCAAGCAGGCATTACACAGTCGTAATGAAGTAAATTGGACTTAATGAATGCACGATTATGTAGCATTGCACGATTGTAACGAGTAACATTATGACAAGACAACCAAAAATCATTCCTTTGGGCAATTAAAAGAATATAAAGGACCATAAGACTAAGAGAAGATTAACCAAATATTCATACAACATAAATTAAACAAGAATAATTAAATTAACCAAATAAGATACTTGACATATTATAAAGTACATAAGATTAACCGATTTTAAACAATATTAACACTTACATATTGATGGTGCTTTCGGGCCTTGAACTCTTGTGAACTATCTAAGCCTATAGGACCGACTAAACCATGAGCTCGATACCAACTCCGTAACGCCCCACGCCCGAACCCATTCATGATGGCATCCCAAGTGAGGGAGACGTTACACTCAAAC